TCCTTTCTTTATATATATATATATATATATATATATATCATTTTGTCATGTGTCTGTTTACGTACAAATTATATATACAAAAGGGGATCAAGAAGGTGGAACTTAATTTCGTTCTTTGTTTCTTCTTCTTCTTTTGGCTTGATTTCATATCATTTATCTTTATACTTGATTTTAAGTGTTGATTACGGAAAATTTTATTTGATGCATGCTTCGTAACTTTGATGCTAATTATTCGATTTCCAAATGATCTTTTATCATCCACTTAAACAAAAGATCAAATAGGGTAAGCCACCCCCTTTGGACAAGGATCAATGGAATCTCGTAAGAATGATAATTCTAAATTTAATTCTTATAAAGTTAAAGAAGGTATGAAGCGAAAAAGTACAACTATAATAACTCTTAATTTAAATTAAAATGCGTTCCAAACTTAATTCATTTAAAATATAAGCAAAACAAGTATAAACATATCTCTTTTGTTCCCAGTTTTCGCACTTTCCTTTAAAAGAACTAATAGTAATTCATGCCCAGCTGGTCCGCGTATATTAGTTTAAAGACCTCATTAATTTTCAACCAAATTTTATATTCATTTTTCAGGATTTTGACTCATGTAAGATTTGGGATTTTTTTTATTTAAGTTCAATTTCAGAAAGTTGATCCATATTTTTGAAGAATTTTGCTGATGAATAATTAATAAAGTTAATTAGTGTTCTATATTAAACAACTTATTATGTATTCATACATAATGCGTAAAAAACTTAAAATTATTATGTCAATGCAAAAGTATTGGCATATTTCTGGAGCCATATGCATGACGAGATGAATAAATTCTTCTTAAATTCGAAGATATCGATCCACACAAAACTTAATCTCAATTATATTAGTATGGGCATCCTGTCGGTAGGGCAACTTTTGCAAACATCTACATCGACCCCTTTCATCTTATGCTTGGATTGCTCATATTCTTTCGTTCACGGGATCATGGATGTACATGTGCACGCAACATCAGAGCTTAATTAGTTCACTATTTACACAAATTTATTTTGATGAGATAAAGGGAAATATTTTAATACAGTGAAAAAATAAACTTCATGTACTAACAGAAGAAAATCGTACTAGTGTGAGTATAATATACTCTTAAAAAAAAAAAAAAAAAAGAGGAGAGTATATGCTTTGTTTAACAGAAGTTTTACTATTAATTAGTATGAAAGTGAATTTCTACTTATAGTACAATATACATAATATCATATTAATATTATGATGTAATAATGTCTATCGATTTCTTCTACCAATAGAATTGTCTCTTAGTACTTAGTATGAGTTGCGAAATGTCAGAGCAATTTCGCTCGTGGGTGATTTTATAATAATATTGAAAATGATCTGAGTATATGTGCAATCTTAGAATAATTATTTAATTATATGAGAAAGTTTGGTATATGCGAAAAATATTGGTAGACTTAAGTAAATTTTTTATTAATTATTTTAAGAATAACTTGGAAACAAGAATAATATTTAGAGAACAAAATTGGTAGTTTATTCCGATACATGAAAACTCTCGTCAAGTATGGTGACAATTTTTTTTCTTTCTTTTTGTTCTTTCCAGGAAGATACGCAAGGTCTTACGATCCCTCCGCGCTGGGTTCTGACTGTGGTTTGTAACAATAATTCATCTGATGATGATGTCCTGGTAAAACGTCATTTTTTGCACTAGTCTTTATAATTTCAACCTAATTAAGATAAAAAAAACGATCAATTGATGGGAAAACTACCTAAATTAACTAATATTTACGTATCAATCTTGTTTATTGCCTAACTGAAACTCAATCAATCCATTGCCCTAAATTTTAAGAATAAATAATGTGGTATAATAGGTACCTATCGAAAAAAATCAATGTGGTATAATATATATAGTACGTATTTTACATATGATATATTTTTGGATAAATATTCTTTATTCCTATATGTCTAAATATTCTGAAGTTTGAGCTAAAATGGAAAATATTATAATTACAGTTAAACTTGCGATGATTATTACATTTAAAATTATAGCTAAATTAAGTTAAGAAGATTTAGCATTTTTTAATAACTTTAACTCGAACTTTAGGATATAGCTATACATATAGTTATAAAATAAGGGATCAAATTGAAAGAAAAAGAAAAATGAAAGTATGAGATCGTAAAGTGTAATTCATCTTTGTTACTATATATCACAGTGACAATTGTGTTTAGCAACTAACATTTAGAATTTTTAATGACAACTTAAAAACTCATAGTAAATTGTTGAAGATTTTATTCGATAGCGTTTGAATTTACAATACGTGTTATAAGTTCACGTGATGAAATGGTAAATTAAAAAGTTAGGGCAACAAAGGAAGCATGGTTTTCTTTATAGACATCATATATATATATGAAGTGAGACATGAAATTATTGCTGAAGAATGATGGATTTCAAAACTCAGTCATGAATTGTGGTGGGACAGTTGCAATGCAATATTAACAGGAGCATAGGATTTTAGGGAGTTGGCAAACATGGTTACGTCATAAACTCATCAATCTAAAAAGTAAAGAAGATACAAAACAGGAACCCTTATCCGATAAACTTGCTTTAATTGCTTGTGTGGTTCCATAGGATTCTGCCATTTTCGCCAGTTCCATGACGTAGACGCTTGATTTAATTTGATCGATTAGCATCTTCCTCTCCAAGAATCTTATTTGTGCAGTGCACTGAACACAAATTGAGAGTTTGGCATGCATGCCTAACTGTTATGTTATTATATATATATCAGCTCCATTAGCCAACAAATTAATGAAGTAGCAATTAGTCAAATCTTCTCTTCACATACATACACGTCTGAATTTCTTTTGCTTTATCATTAGTAGAAAGGGCTCTCAACAGATACTAATCTGGACGAAACCGTTTTCCTCACGTTCACACTAACTAATAACTGAGTATTCGGTAAAAACGCATTTTTATATATTTCCAACTTTTAAAAAAAAAAAAAAAAAAAGAGAAGATAGCTTCATTAATTTGAGTGCTAAATAACACTTGAAATAATATGATAACAAACGTAAAGATGTTTTTTCCCCCATATTTTTTTTTATTTTTTATTTTCCGTAGTATCCTTAATTTCACTCTATAAGTGGGACTTATCCCATCTTAAGCTATCCTTTAATCTAATTTGATGTCATGTAGATGAGTTTCAAGATTGAATTTGATCGAGATAGCATACTTGAATGATTTGAATCCAATCCACTCAGGAAAATACATGTTATTATTCATATAGTTCAATTGATTTGTAATTCTTAATTAATTTAAGCTCACATTTTAAAGTAGTGTGAAGTTGAGAATTATGATTGTTGTTGGATTTATCAAATCATTATTAAGTCATACATTCATATTTATTCTTTTAATATTTACATTTAAGATATCAAGGATAACTCATACTTTACAAATCAATTTTGCAATATGAAATTAAGTTTAAAACCCACATTATTATTGTATTTACATGACACATAATTTAGTAGGAATTGTATTAAATTTTGTATAGTAGTAAAAACATCAAATACAACAGAAGGCCAATAAAGGTCACAATATATATGTTGAGACATATTTATTGAAGATTCCAAATCAACTAGTTATATTACTAAAATAGTATGTGTATTTATTTATTTATCTATCTATATATATATATAAAGGGTAATTTTTACCTTTAGAGTTGATTTTTCAAGGTTTAGGGTTAAAATACAAAACAAATCATTGATAATAAATCACAATAGAAAAATAAATGAGAAAGGAACTGCGACAATTATTAGTTTTTTTTTGTTATTTGTAGTTTATTTTTTAAAAAATTTATTTTATTATATAGATAATTGATATAGTTTTTTTAATCAATATAATTGACATGAGACTAAAGTACAATAATGAGACCAATGGACGCATGCATCTACCGATAAGAGTTTGTTTCAATTTAATCAATAATATCATATCCGAGTCTTAGTTATGTAGTTGTCGTGTTAAATACCTTGAAAAAAAGAGTTGCCATTCATATTAATCATATTCAATTTGAATAAAAATATCTCTAATAATAATAAAAGTATAAGTAGTTTAATGAAAGTATGACTATCGGTTATGTAATATTTTACAAAATTATTTGTTATACTAAGTAAGCTACCAAAAAGCAATAAGAATTTAATTTGTTGTAGTAAATAATATAAGCAAATAATTATAAGAATTCTTTTTGGCATTTTTA